CCACCCATATAGGCGCTGGGAATAGTATTCGACTGTACGTTCTCCGAGTGGCCAATTACTTCGCCTACGCTACATCTCAGTACTGAATATTGAAGAGCGAGAAGTCGTACTTGGTGTAGACTGGGGGTCATTTTACTATGTCTGAAGTAACTCGCGGCTCACATGATTGCCACCTCTAGCGTGAACTTTGGCCTCGTCAGGACAAGGAGTAATTCAAAATGGTCAAAGAATTATCTGAGTGGTCCTCCAAGATTATCACGTGAGATTCTGCATCTCTAACACTAATTGGTACGAGAAGGCGGCCGACGATTTCCGAAACGTTCTTGATGTACGGAAGGGCTCGCCAGAATTTAGGGGTCGTGCGATTTGACCCTTCGTCCCGTTTGTGTATGCATCGGTTAATGAAGTTGCGCGGATAGTCTGGGCTTTGAACACCCGTCGAAGGAATCGTAGTTAGGCAGTCTTATGTTCAGAGTGATATTACAGACAAAGAGAGGGGAGACTGGAATGACCTTTTCCGGCTTATTAGCCGTCGTCAGCCAGTCATACCCAACCCCGAAGTGCGGCGCACCCAAGGCTCGAACTTTCGACCTGTTTGTTAGAAGTCCACGCCTCCAACCGTCTCACTGTTGTCTGTCTCAACAAGCCAATATAGCGTCCCCACACAACAGCGTTTGTAGATGACTAGGTGGTTTTTGTTGACGCTCAGTACTCTTGCCGTATTTGTAGCTTTCCTGAACACTTTAGTCTCTAGGCTATCACTATCTTTGGGGCATACGAGGACATTCAGGACACCGGTTGATTGATTTCCTTCAGCTACTCCTCCTCCGCGATAAATTGTACGTCCAGAAAGATACCTTCGAGACGTTCTTTAGATGTGAGCAGTTAATCCCGGCCGATAACGCCGAAGGTGTCATCCAAAGCCGGGCCCACACTTTCGGTTTGTCGCGATGGAAATCCAGCCACTCTTACCACTTCAACGCCGACTCGGCACTCAATCTCAAAGTCGGCGAACCCATCGGTTTGCCTGTCGTCTACTTGTAGACTGTTTCATGAAACCTAAAGTACGCTTTGGGATAGAAATTCAGAACCTTAGGATTTTGCCCTGTCCAAGACAATTCTCCATTTCATCGTATTTACTTTGCAGAAATAGCTTGACGGTTTTGATCACCAAATCCTGGTGAGAAGAAATAAAGCGGGATGTAAAATCAACATACGCCATGATTTCATTTGGAAGGCCACTTACCCCCTTAAACTTTTTTCAGGAAGTATGCTAACAAACAGGCTGTGGAATTTGACCCAGGCGTCAGGAAATTGAGATGCCTGACCATCCAATTTATCGGTCCGTAAAATGGAGCGTCCAGTTTGTGCACCTTAGCGACGTCATAGATTATGGCCAAAGGCGAATCTTGGGGTTTCTCAATGTGTCTGTCGGTAATTTTTATTGCGCTTAAATCTCCAGTGGCAACAACGTAGCGCTAATTTGATGCGGACAAGTTTTTACAGGGCTGGTTGCACAAGAAACGTGGAACAGTCGGTCCTTCAGTAAACATTCGACTTTTAATACGTTGTCCATCATGTAAAATACAACTACACAACAGCCTTGTCTGCAAGTCCGATGACGAGGTCTTTGCTAGCCTTGAGTTCTCTAAATGCAGCAAGTTCGACCTTGAGGAGCACTTCATTAGCCTATGAGTCATAAAGTGAGGCAGAGTCGGACGATGCTAATTGTCCTCTTCGTCGACTCCTTCTGATTAAGGACTGATTTAACCAATAAAACTTTATTAACAGGATTGGATTCAGCGTGTTGAGTGAAGCTTCGTGCGGCAATGCATGCGTTTAATCCTCTGTCGGCTCCTTTAACGACAGGTTATGCACCAGTTTGTCGCTGAATCAGACAGCTTTCGGAATCTGCTCTCCTGTGCTGCGTCGAGTATTGTTCTACGTTCGTGGGGTTGTTCTGGCACCCTATGCAGGAACAGATTTGCGCTGCCCTTGACCCTGAACTCGGAGCATCGAGTATTCTCTTGGTCAGTCGTCTAGGGGTAGTTGCGAAATCTGGCGTGGCAATCTTGGAGAGACACTCAGATCATTATTCTGCCATGTTGATCTACTCCTTGTCCTGACGAGGCCGAAGATCGTGCTAGAGGTAGCAATCCTATGAGCCGCGAGTTACTTCAGTCTAGTTCACTGACCCCCAATCTGCAACAAGTACAATGACCCCTCGCTCTTCAATATTCAATACTGACACTTAACCTGGGCGGAGTAATTGGCCACGTGGGAAGCGTACGGGCGAACACTATTCCAAGCACCTGTATTGGTGGGCCAGATAGTCCAGCAGTCATTACATCAGCATGCGACACATGTTATGAAGTTGGAGAAATTAACGACGCGAATGTTGGGGACCTAGTCCTGCCAACTCAACTGAGGTGGAAGTGATTGTGTCTCTGCGCCTGCTTCCTGTAGACGGTCCAGGTCTACATATAGCAGCGTCGACAGGATTACTGCCCTGAACATCCTCAGTTTGGTGTTGAGGTGGAGACCATGACGGTTCCAGATGATGTTCGGCTGACAGCAGAACGCTCAGCTGGCTTTGGAGATCCGACCAGCCACTTCATCTTCGTCTTTGTCGTTACAGAAGAGCATGCTGTCCAGGTGGATGAAGTTGTCCACGAGTGACAGGTGTGTGCCGTTCACGTTGTTCTGGGGCGCAACGTAGGTAGCGTCGGGTGGTAGTTGATGCATGATCACCGTCTTATCTGTGTTAATGACCAGGCCGAGGTTGTCGCAGGCGGAAGCGAAGAGATCCATATTTCTTTTTTGCATGTCCCCTTCCGCAGTGGTGCTTAGGGCGCAGTCGTCAGAGAAAGATGGTGAGCGGGTAAAGACAACAAAGCAATAATCAGCTTATCTGGAGGGCGCTTACCTTGACGTCTCTTACGAGGCTGTAGGCTAATTCACATCTCGGAGATGAGTAGGCGATGGTCGGTCCACCCGTCAGCACCCGGACCCCCTTTTGTCACCAGAATGCCTCGCTGGTCTCGCCTCCGGACGAGGGCACAGTCCATCGGCCAAAGGTGCACCCAGTTGGCCTTCTTTCACATCTGGAGGCGGATGTTGATGTTTGTCAGAATGAGCCGGTGTCCTGAACAGGTTTTGTTGGAGGAGCAAACCAATGTCGTCGGAACCGTCAGGACCATGGAGGCCCAACGCTTCACCAGGCAGCTTGGTCTGCGCCGAAGTGGGTTTTGAAGTCAGCATGGACAATAAACGGTCAGATGTGGTTATGTAGCCCCGCCTAAAGCAAACAAACGCAGCCACCTGTCATACAAGACCGGTAGTAATGGAGGTTTTTACAGGTGCGGCCGAGGAACGCGCAGGCGACGAGCTCAAGTACTTGTTTGCAAAAGAAAAACTATTGGGAATGCGCGATTGAAATTTGAGTGGTTGAGAAACAGTTGCCCTAACACTGACCCTTAGTTCTAACCTGTAACGCTAACCCTTAACCCCAGCCCCAAAAGTACTGTTTCCATCAGGTCGGGCTGCAAAACCAGATCTTACCCGATAAACTTATCAGCCTTTGGCACAGACGCCAGGAGAACATTCAGGTCCTCGTACAATTTGTTGCTCGCATCGTTATGGCTGGCCATCGGCGGAGCGCAGACGCTGACTATAGTGGCGAATTCGCCTACCCGGAGAGACAGGCGTAGGCTCATCAGGCGATCGTTGATGCCCTGCGGCAGACAGGGCAGTCGTCTCACGACGTCGTTGCAAATGGCAAAGACGACACCCGCGTCTCGTCGCTCTACCCTGGGGCAACCGCTCCAGAAGAAGGCGTAGTCGGCACCCACCTCTTTCAGTTGGCCTTGTTCGGAGAACCGGGTCCCACTGAGTGCAGCGATGCCCACCTTGTAGCGCACCAGTTCCCGAGCTACTAGCACCGTCCTCAGTTCCGGTCAGCTGCTCCTCTGATTGTCTTAAAGGGAACGAACAGTCCACGCTGCCAGAGTGTCCGGACTCACCCGGCCAGTCTGACAAGTGGAACAGTGGAGGGGAGGAGGAAGGGAAGGGAAGAGACTGTTGTTAATTGTGGTCGTTTTTACCGTGAGTTTTGCGCCCGAGGCCACAGTCAGCCTGCAGACGGTGTGGTTCCCCAGCACTTGTATAGGGCATCTTTTCTAACCCCTTCCCCCTCGCGGGGGTAAACGGTGCTGGCCCTAAATAGGGCTGGTCAGTCACCGAGACAGCTGCTGAACTCCATTATGCGGTGTTCTACGCAGGTGCGGAAAAGGAGCAGACCACTGTTGTTTGAGCCGCCGAGACCATAGGGAACCAGCACTCCTCTCCAGAGAGCGTAGTCCGTGCCGACGCGAACGTCAAAGTTACCAAGAACAATCACCATATCCGCCTTTGGCACAGTCACCAGGAGGGCGCACAGGTCCTCGTAGAATATGGCTCTTGAGGCGTCAGAGTTGGTCGCCGGGGGAACGTAGACACTGATGATGATAGCGAATTTGCCTCCCCGGAAGGGCAGGCGAAGGCTCATTAGGCGATCGTTGATGTCCTGCGGCAAACAGGGCAGTCGTCCCACGACGCCGTTGCGGATGGCAAGAGCCACGCCCGAATGCCGTCGTTCTGCTTTGAGGCGACCGTTCCAGAAGGTGTAGCCGGAACCAATCTCTCCAGTTGGTTTTGTTTAGAGAAGAGTATCTCACTGAGTGCAGTGATGTCCACCTTGTAGCGCGCTATTTCCACAGTCACTAGCGCTGTCCTCCGTTCCAGTCAGTTGCTCCTCGGACTGTCTAAAAGGGAACGAACACTACAGGCTGCCACAGCGAAAGAACTCACCCTAGCAGCCTGTAGGGTGGGACGGAGGGAAGAACGAGGAGGAGGAGGAAAGGGTAGAGAATATGACTTTGTGTTTGGTCGTTTCTGCCGTGTGTTTTGCATTTGCGAGCCACAGTCAGCGGCAGAGGACGTGCAGCCAGCACCCTTTCCAGCCCCGTCCCCTCGCGGGGGTAAGCAGTGCTGGCTCTAAATAGGGTTGCCTAGACAGCTCAGACGACCGTCGAAGTCTACTAAGTAGCCATGACTTTTGTTTAATGGGAAAGCGGTCTGAGTTGGCCTGCGCCGCCTACGGCATCGAAGTAGAACTTGAAGGGTGGGTGGGGAGGAGGACTAAAGGGACAAGAAACAGAGCTTTGCCGTCCTTCCCTAAGCGAACTGGTTGCTGCAATATAAAAGCGGTGAGCAAACAGATTCAAAGGAACAGCAGATAGCGTATAGCACATGCAAACAGAAGCAAGCAGACTAAGAGCAGACAAGAAAGAACAAGTAGAAGCAAAGACAGGCAGAGGAATTTAAACGGAACAGCATTTGGCTTACAACAAGTGCAAACAGAAACAAGTAGACAGAAAAACAAGCAAGCAGGGACAAGCAAGGTAAAGACGGCATGCCGTCTGGACTTCGAGACCGGGATATGCGCACACCGATCTATTGGCTTTCCGAAGCAAACCAGCTTCATTGGGGTGGCAGAATTTTTGACAGCAATCAACTGTCGGCCAAATGTCAACAGCAGACGAAAGTGATGACAGACAATCCGGTAGAATGATATTTCATCGAACCTAAGTAGCGATGGGCCCGTATCCCCTGTCGTCCCTCGTCTCTGTTACCATTACTTGGCCGACTTCGGCCTGCTTCTGACATTTGCCACGTATATGGAGCTTTTTTGCTTCGGGAAGCAAGTAGCTGGGGGTACGTCTATTTCTGTTTGAATAAACAGCAGATTTGCCGCGACAAAGAATGACAGGTGGCGAGACACTGATGAAACTCAGTCCGATGAATTTTTTATGACCCATCTGCTAGGCTGCGTCTGTGAACCTTCTGTGTCGGGTATTGGCGCATGCTTGTTTATCTGGCTTCACCTCCTTGTCAGGCTTATGACTGGTCAAAGAAAGGTAAAATAAACCCGACTCAGCAATGTGTTAATCTACTCGCATTCTCTGTCGGTGTATTGTGGTCACATTGGGATGTCTGTCTCTGCACGCCCACATGAGCACGAATTGCCAGCAAAGAGGTGGGGTCACTTATCCCAAGTCGCCGTGCATACTCTAGAAACTGCGCACCGACTTGCTTGGGATAAAACACGCATTGTCAATTCCTGCCCATATAAGAAGGACCGAGAATTCCTGGAGGCCATTCACTCTGATGCCTTAATCGGCGCATCGATCTAGACGCCATGTACACAAATCTCAAATTAAAAATGGAAAAGGTGATAGCCAGTCAAGACGTGATGTCCGCCCACAGCATTGACCCATCCTCAGCCCTGACAAAGCAGTATCGATTTCTCGGGCATGTTTAAACTTTAACTGTTTTTCACACTTTCTACGCGTCTGACGACGACCTGGGGAACGAGCGTCAAATTATTCCGAAACCAGATTTGTTCATTTTCCCAACGGACTCATTTTTTTGTGAAATATATATATCTATATGGCATTACTCCCGCATTCTGGGAACTATCTTTGGTCATTGTTTTCCTTTTGCCTGAAGACCACTGTAGATATAAGAAAATCTGTTTATGCCAAACTTCGAACCCTTTCGTAGACTAAACTACTAAAACTTCATGAAAAGAGAACGTCTAGTCATCTTTTCAGCAGCGATCCGGATATTCTTGATCAAAGACCAACATCGGCGCTAGCAAAAGTTTAGAGCCACACGCGAAGTAGGAGATGAGTTGATTTTTTTAATGATTTCCCGTCTTTATATTCTCGCGCAATTGTTGCACGGTTACCTCATTGAACGCTTAAAGCAGAGGTTGGGAAATTGCGATCTGTTTTTTTTTCTAATCAAGCTTCGACGCCGCGCTGGCGTTTTCGCAATCAATGCACATACACTTATTTTGATGAGGTAAGTTAACGAGTGTCTGCCATGATGGAGATCAAACGTTTAGACTGTAACAGTTTGATTAAAGTATTACGCATCTTTTCCTGAAGTCGCCTAAAGCCAGCAATCACACTAACTAACCTTGCGAGTGGCCCCGAAAGGCTAAAATTGATGTGCTGATCAAAGCGAAGATGTTTGTGAAGTATGCTCCTCAGAACAACGACCAGCGATAAAAATTAAAAAACTTTTTTGTCATTTAGCCGAACTTCGACAACGGACATGAACTCAGTTTCGTAATCTTATGACACATGAATAAGTCTGATGTTTAAACGGGGCAACGTCAGCACATTTTCCCACATAAAAAACAATTTTTTCGGTCTCTGTTGCCATGCCAACCACGTTGACGACTCCGTATTTTGCTGTAAACTGAATGTTACGCACACATTTTACAGTTAGCAAAGCTTACTACATACAAACATGGATAGAGTTGAATATTTACATGAGAGTTCTAAAAGTATAAGAATGAAATGGAAATATTTAACTAAGTTAGGTTTTATACTAGTAAGAAACGCAGAATGGCTATCTATTTTTCGTGTTTAATACGTTTATTTTATTAATGGCACCAAAGATTAGTGTCATTTTTTAATGAATAGCAAAAACCATGTTCAGTGAAATCTGCTCGAGCCCCGATCAGTGTTATAATCACCATTCTTTTCAATCGCGGTTAATTATCCTTAGAATAAACTTTAAATACCTTCTTTAAGAGTTAAGTTTGTTTTGACGCAAAGATATCCGAGAGCCCACTTTGACGTCATCAATATTTTGACTGATTTTGCCGCCCACGAGTTGCTGTAAACACCGAAAGAATGATTTTGCAGTTGGTGGTTAAAAGTTCCCAGCCTAACTTTTGAGTCCTGTTCCGGGCTGTCGGGTTAAACACGTTCCCACGTTGCATGCAACTGAATTAGCTTATATTCGTTGATTAGCGTTGGAGATTTATTGACAATACTCGATTCAAACCTTCTGAACGTTGGGAATGGAAAACTGTACTTACGGACTGACATTGTTTCTGTAGCTCAATATATGTCTACCACACAGGGCATAACATTCTTGGGTTTGGAATCTGATTTCACAGGCGTAAGTGGTGTCTGGATTAGGAAAACTATTAATATTTGATAGATATTTGCGCTGGCCTTAACGTATTTCTCATCTCTGGTGACGATTTACTAATAAATTAATTCCCTCTGTTGTCTGTTTTGCAATATTTTGCAGATTTAGAACTCCGGGCTTTGTTTATCTCAAAAGTTGGCTTGGATCTCAAACTCCATGTCTATTGAACCCGATCACAGCCTTGTGAGTCAAATTTGGCATCTACGGACATCCCAAGCGTTCGGAAAAACGCCAAAAGCTACTGTGGTGTCTGTTGGTACTTTTTATCCTATTACGTCCATACAGCATACAATGACGAACATGGCCTCCCTTGAATTGTGCAACTTTGACTTTTTTATAACCAATTAAAAAACACAAGCCCTAACTGGTGTACAAATACACGTGGTTCACAGGGAGAAGACATAAACATTTTGATAAATATCATTTAACTTCAAACTTTTAAAACGGCACTGCCTTCCGATACCCTCACAAGCTTTGGATACGCGCATACTTACCTGTTCTTAACATAATTTATCGTCACCAACGGCGAGAGTCAGCCACCAGGGGAAAGGGGAGAAATGGTTCTGTGAAGTTGCCTATGGCTGTTCGACAGTTGTTACTGGCAGTGTCATCCGTATTCCCCACAGCAGGATGATCAGGGTGAGTTCCACTGGGATGATAATCGACCTGCACAGCATTTACAGCACAGTCTCCGCCCTCACAATCCTGGGTCCTTTGTCATGAAACAGTCAAGAGGATTGGGAGCTAAATCATGTGAATTAGCTTATGAAACAAAACAATCCGTCTATGCTTGCCATACAAGCCTGGTCCGCGAACGATGCGCCGGGTTCGCACCTTACAGAGAGCAATGAGATGGCTGGAATTCCAACGGAATAAGAGTGCCCAAGAGGCCACATATACAGGAGCCATTAGAGCCTGCCTCCCAGTCCTGAGAGGTGAACAGAGGTATTCCGTCAACCGGCTACCTTCCGACCCACGGCTTTTAGCGTCAAATGAGAGCCTTAAAGCCCAACAGATTATTCCTAGTAAAGGCACACTACGAGAACTATGGGTACTGAGTCCCCATGACACTGAGCAAGTCGTGAGTGGCATGCGCAGACCAATTGTTAACCACTGCGGCCTGAATGTGCCTCTGGTAATCTCAAGTTTATCTTGCCACCGGGCTCAGGTATGCGAGTATGGCTGGTTAGTCGTCCTCAGACAGCCATACTCGACGCAAAGAAGTCTCTAAGGTTCTGGGGCCCGAAGTTGTGCTGAGGCAGCCGGAGGAAATTTTGATATCGGAAGCCAGTTGTTTTCCCTACATGTAAATGGTTATTTAAATTTTCAAGCTAGCGATAATTTATGAGACAAGGTTGTAGCGACTAAGCGGCGATGGTGCACGCTCAGTACGCCATAACTTCAGGCCATATCCCAATTTGTTAGAAACAGGACGCCATTTGGTTAGAACACTTTATTCTGTGCAGAATAGTGAAGGGGAAATTTTGCGACTGG